TCATTTAAAACATGGTTAGTTAGTTTAAGTAATGTGCATTGACATTCATTCTTCCACTGATTGCACACAAGCTTTTTTTTATACAGAAGAGAAGATGATTAATTAAAATATTACGTCAATAACTCAAGAGATTAATCTCAACAATTTAAATCATGATAAATAAGGATACAAATTATATCAGACAAATGTTAATGTGGTGTTTGGCTTTATCAATGTCCCAAAATACAATAAAGTTATAAGATTAAGGCCTTAAAATAAGATGTAAGAAGATACCAATGTTTTTGCATTCAATAATTGTAACTGAAAATGAGCTTACTGCACTAACTATATACATGATTAGCTGTGCCATCTGTATCAATCTCCACTGGGTACTTTGCAAGGGCCAGCAAATGAGCAACTATGACAATCTGCAATTAAAATGTGCATTTACCATAACCAAGATTTACAGAGTTGGGGAAAGAAAGGGTTTGAGGGGAGACTAGGGGGTCTCAGTAATAACTGTGTATTGTATGCTATATGTTTGATTGGAAGACATAAGGAAGGAAGAAAACTCCTGTTCAACTGTGGAATAGCCATTTTTGTAAAGTGAACAAAATAACTGCAAATTATATAGAACAATGGTTAAATTAAAATATGTTCATATAAAAAAAAAATTCATTTAAATATTGAGTGCTTTTCCAACTCACTCTCCTTTTAAATAGCTTTGTTTGACACCTCATATATTTGAATACTTTCTTTCGACTAATTAAAGAAAAAATCCATCATTTGCATTCAATCATGGACCTGAAAAAAACCCCCACAATATATGCAGTATAAATATGTTCCTGTTGAAACGGATACAAGTTTCTATGTTAACTCTACATTTACAGAGTAGAAGATCATCCCTTTAAGATTGCATTTACTTACATAAGTGTATATACACTGAAACATTTGTACAAGAGGATGGGTAAAAAAAAAACGAAAATAGGAATATAGAAAGAAGAGGGTTTCACTGAACTTGTGACCGATACTATAAAAAAAATCTATGCCATTTCAATCAAGATGCATTTAATACAAAACAACAATTGTACAGTCTTGGGAAATGTATGGTAATTTAGAAATGTTTGGGAAAAGGAGAATATCCAAGAGAGCAGATGGGATAAGTCTCATAAAAGAGAAGTATGGGTCAAAGAGCCAAATTTTTTAAGATCCAATCCACAATCACAAGACCTAATGGAACATTGCTATATCAGTAACAATACAATTAAAGGGAGAGAAACAATCTTAGTCTGACTTTTATTGTTGTTTTTTTCTCCAAATTAGTATTAGTTAAATTTTACAGTAAAAAAATTAATTATAATTTTAAAATAAATACGATTGAAAGATTCTTTAATGAAAAAAGTTTATTGAGGCAATTTGTTTGTAAAATTAAGGAAGATTTTTCAATGAATGAAGACTATTGACAAGTTAAACTCACCTGCTGAACAAAAAATTCATGGATGTCATTTCATTGTTTCAGACTTCCAACAAAATACAAACAAGAGCATTATTAATGTAGTTTAGTGCTATCACAACCAAGCAGGTGTCAACAGATCCATATAATTAGTGCATATAATCATCCCTGCCATGAATTCTGATTTCAAAGGGAGTTGTCAGTAGATTGGAACAGACATTTTGTTCTTGTGATGGTGGACAACACAAACACTGACCAATGACATCAGAGGGGTTGTTATCCATTACAAAAAAACATTGGCCTTTGACATCATAAAGAAGTAACAAAATGAAAGATGATAAACAAAACTACATTATTTTGTCAAGATTAATTACTTGCGGGAGAACTTTTTAAAGCCAGACACTGGCCTGGTGGTTAGACCCATGGCCAAAATTTTTTGTTTGTTTGTTCTTGTTAAGACTTAAGATCAAAGGAATAGGAATAAAATAGTTCTCAAGAAGAAATGAAAAAATTAGTTAAAAAAAAAACAATAGAACTTCAACAGTAAACATAGTAAATATAAAAATAATCATCCATCTTTCTCTTCAATAAAGGATTAACCAAATTAATAACAAGAAAGGAGCGTTCTGTTAGAATTCAAAAAAAAAATGCATATAACTGAAGTTTGAATTATGTAAACAGAAAGCACAGTGATGCTGTTTACTATTTTTATGATTATATAATACATAGAAGATGATCATCAGGCATAGCTTGTAATCTGTGAAAATAAATGTGTCACAAAAGAATTTGGTATATCACAAAGCTCCTATAATATAAAATATATATGTACAACAGTGCATCCTTGATGCAGAGCTTGCTGTTGGTGGAAAACAGGAAAGCATCACCCCAGAAAAAACAAAACAAAGGGAGATTAGTAATTATATTCCAGGTCATTTCCCTTGAAGAGAAAAAAAAAGTACAGAGGCAATCTGTTAAATGTGAAAGGCTTTTAAAAAAATGTATATTTATTTACTAAATACATTTTTTTTACTTCAGCTTTCTGTAGATGGATCCATACCAATCCTATTTAATAAACATATTATTGTTGGATAAGAAAAAAAGTTTCCTCATGGTAATCTTGATAACCTATATTAAAGTTTATTTAAATTTCTAGGAATCAAATCCTAATTCAGCTACACTATAAGGTAAGATAAGAAAGATTTAATCTTTAAATACCTTGCATTAAATATAATTTCAATAGTAATATGTATACAGTGTAAATTTACCCTCAAGAGGGCTTGCCAGGTCATATGGTCTCTGCTTGGTTAACATTTTTACAATTACAATTTTTTTTTTTAAATGCCTTTTCACATTTATTTTGTATGTAAATATATTTTTGTGGAAATCTTCCTTTTTTTCTGATTAAATCTTACCACACCACTCTCAAATCAATTCTGATAGTTTAATAACTACGGACTCATTTTTGAAAGCTGAAAAGCACAAAAGTAAAAAGGATTACTATTTTTTTAATTTTTTTGTAGTAGTAATATGAATATATTCACACATTTTTGCAACTACTTTTCAGAGGGTGATTTCTAATGTTCTTAGTGCTTGCTCCATTTTGGTAATATAAGTAGGTGGGCATAAAGATTAACTTATAAATCTCCTATGTATAAAACATCTTGTTTTCCATCAACAGATTTATTGCTTATTGCCTTCCATAAGTGAGCACATTGTTAACAGTCAGTTCGGAACAGGTTGAAGTTAGATGTGAAAATTAAATAATCAAAGTTAAGTAACAAACAAATACATCTTAAAATGGAATTCCCTTCCTTGAATTTCAAAACGTGCCCATTCAAATTTTCTACTGACTTGATTTTGTTGACGTAAACTGTTTATAATCGACACCTCAAAATTAATCTCTTCACATTTTTAATGAATATTTTATTTATTTTACAGGTCATTTCTTCCTGTTTGAAGTTAATGCAAAACTGTGACTCAATAAAAATACAGCTATGTTCTGAGAATTGGGTTGGGGGGGGGGGGGGGGGGGGCAGACATCTGGGTAGTTATAATCCAAAGGTTCTAAATTTTGTAAGGCATGACACCTTTTCATTGTACAAATAGTAAGCGACTCCTCACCCCTTCTATAATAATTTCTTTTTTGCTGTCATCCACGCCAATTTAAATGTACTATTTAAAAAAATCCCAACCGTGCCAACTTGATGAAGTATTTCTTTACACCCACAAGAAAAGGAAACTTTGATCTCAAACAAATAGAGCCAATATGAGGGAAATCATGACAGATAACACAACATTGCCGACAAATATTAAGATCAAATCAACCAAGAATGGCTAATATGTCAAATTTATATCAACAACATGACACTTAGCTCCACTCTATACTACCATTTGTCCACTGTCTTTAAATATTATCTAAATTCCAAGACGTAACTCCTCCTACTCTAATTACACTGTCTTGGATATTTTCAAATGTTTAAAAGTAAATATGACAGCTCAAAAATGCAGTTTTCAACATTATAATACTGTGGGGAATAATTTACTTTCTCAGGGATACACATAATTCTCCTTAGTATTTGTGGCCATCTTGGAACAGTGCTGATTTTAACATCACTGAAATGATAAAAGTCTGGGAAGATACATCTCACTCTAAATAACATGAAAGACACAAAGAACAGCCACTTTTGCCTTCAAATAAAATTAAAAGCAACCAAATGGTGTTAATAGAGTGAAGTGCCAAATTACAAGTTCTGATATGAAACAAAAAAAAAAAAAATTTACACATCAAAATCCTAACATCATGGAAGTATGACCAGGGTCTCTGCCCCAGGGAAGCAATAATTAAGTGGCTTTAGGCTAGGGTTCTTTCCAAAAGGGCCAGAAATGTGGTTAAATGTGTTCAATGTTCTAACCCCACCATATGCTCTTAGAAATCTAACATCATTGTACCAAACTAACTTAAATTTTGCAGATTAAACATTATAGCCTCAACACAAACACGTTAAATAAAAATAAGCAACAAACATGTTAATATTTATATATATATATATATATATATTGAGCCACCAGAGTAACAGATTCAGCATTCAATACACATTGTTGCAAATGCATGTTGTCTGACAGGATGGAATCTTGTTGCTTGTAATGAACAAATACCTCTAACTGCATCCAGAAGGGATTGCTTCAAACAAGAAGTCCAACCTAAGTTCAAATAATACTGAAACAACGCACTAGAACAGATCTGGAAAGAGCTGAGAACAATCCGATCTATGCAGAAGCAAAAAAAAAAAATACTGCGGTAAAAAAAAAAAAAAAAATAAAGAAAAAAAAAAAAAAAAAAAAAAAAAAAAAAAAAAAAAACAAATAATACTGAAACAACGCACTAGAACAGATCTGGAAAGAGCTGAGAACAATCCGATCTATGCAGAAGCAAAAAAAAAAAATACTGCGGTGATACAAAAAAAAAAAATCAAGGAACAGAAATATGAGGAAATAAAACAAAATACAAAAATATTTAAGACTAATCCAAGTCAAAACATAATACATTAGATACAATTTTATCTTGTAATTTTAATTGAAATCATTAGCGCAATGCAAAAAAAAAAAAAAGTAAAAAAGTAAGTCATTTTTACAGAATAAATTTGTGTAAAGTACGACTCTTTTAAAGGATATTTTTATCTAAAAAAATTAAATTAATTCCATTTTCCTTTTGATGTAAACAAATGTTTTTGTTTTCAAATCTCACAAATTTTCTTTTGGCTTATGGAAGAAAGTTTAGTTTCTACACAGAAGCAAATAACTTCTTGCTTCAAAAAAAAAAAAAATGTTCACTATAACTATACGTATAGATAGACAAAGTCTCCAATCTTTAGACCCTGTTAAGACATGTATACGATATAAACAATCCCTCTTAATGTGAGTTCAATGACTCCCATCTATGCATTCCATCAACTGGGCTTCTGATGCATCTCAGTGAGCAAACAATCATCATACACATTCACCACTCACCAGGTCAAAGTTCAAAAGTGAAAAAAAACACCTGTTCATATGACATGATTGCAGAGTGGCTAATGTTCACTTTGAATCAAGTAGATAAAACATGCCAATGGCTTACTAAGGGTCACAAAGGTTAAAAACAAGAGATTAAAAAAAACACATTCCACATGAGAGAAGCCATGTAGTGCAGCCTTCAGTGACAGGAGCTTACTCTATAAAACCTTGCATATCTTTTAAAAAAAAATATTTTTTTAAAAAGATGAAACAGATGACAATGATATTTTGATGTCAAAAGGAGATTGGGAAATAGTTGAATCACCTGTAATGTATGTTTCACTAGGCAGCCAGGGTGAGGATGAATAAAATAAAAGATTTCTAGTGAGTGGATGGCAGGCTAATTTTTAGGTTTAAAAAATTCCTTTTCACCTCTGAGCATTATTTATAAGAAACTGACAGGTGGAAAAAAACAATTAACCTCATACATAAACCATACCTTCCTACAATTAAATGTTAGAATTTGTTGGTAATTAATGGGAAAATGCTTTGAACACAAGACTATGATCAATTCAAAATTTAAATATGATTCCATTCAACAGGTTAATGAGTGGCTCAGAGAACAAAAAGCAATGTATAATATATCTTATATTATACATTTTCATCCTACATAGTTTGATAACTCTTGCTCTCATGGACTGAAAACACTTCAGTGCCTAGTGGTGAACATGAGAGAGAGAGAGAGAGAGAGAGAGAGAGAGAGAGAGAGAGAGAGAGATAGTACAGGATATTGTCAGAGTCATTAGTATTATAAAGAATCTGTTTGAAAACATTATATATGCTTTGCCCAATCAGTGGTTTTTATATGTCAGCACAATTAAGAGAAAACTGAACACACAAACAAATGAGACCCTGTTGTCTGCTTAGTTCCTGCCTACTCAATTTAAACGAGGCTGAGGCCACCGACAGGCCTAAATCATAAGCTTGGTTAGCACACAGGCAACTGTTGTCTGCCGAGTACAAAACTTTTGTCTTATCATTTACTCATTATGTACACACAAAGCGACTGGCTTCACTTGCTCACAGGATAAGTCATGACAAGTCAAGGAGGAAGGAACTAACAAGATGTGAGACTCCCTGCTTCATGTGGTCTGTATGTGATGTTGCAAGCATTTCCATTTGACTTAAAACAATTGTGACTGCAATAACGAAAAATAGGACCAGAGTTGGACACCATTGTTTGTATATAAAATAAATCAAGAAATATCAGGAGGAACAACTTCCCCCAGAACTAATCACAATGTGAAGGTCATAAATTATTTGAATTCAAAGCCTGCATGATAATCTCGGAGGTGAGGGGCCGGCCCCGCCCGACTTGGCCGTGCACACTTCCTGACCAGGTCATCATAGGTGCCCCCATGAAGGAAACAAACCAGGACCACAGTCATGTTATCACAGCCGAGGCCCCCTGCCTGGCAGTCGGGTGCAAGACAGCGGGTCATCAATTCTTCACAAATCTGAAACAAGATGTGGACAACAATGATAAATTAGGTATAAATGTATGCTTTTTAAACAGCTGGTCCACAGAAAATTACAAATGTGTGTTTTGATATGATTTTTTTTATATGCTTTCCTCTATGAACAATTTTCAAATCAAGAGATAGTTTACAGCTGGAAGTACAAATATAACATAAGATAATTAGCAAATTAAGTTAAATATACTCTAGATCAGGGGTCTCCAAACTTTTCAGCCCGAGGGCCGCATTAACTATCAAACAGCAGTTCGGGGGCCGACAACATACTTGAGGTCCGAATAAAAAAAAATATCAAAACATGGACGTTGTTTTTAATTATTTATGTAATATTATTTCATTCAGTTATTATTTAATTACATATTGATACACGACACATGAACACCTGTATTAGTGGGAATGGTGAAATTGTTTCCTGGATGCCAAAATAGCAGTGCTCAGCAGACATTTCTGGTTTTAGATTTGATGTCCCTAACATCAACAGTGAACTGAGATTATGATCGGACAAATTTGCTCTCAAATTGTTCTCCACGTATTTCGTTCTAGAAAATGTTTGTTCACACAGGTATGTTATTCCGAAGATTGAAAGATACCTTAATGCAAAAATCTTGAAATTAGGAAAGTCTTCCGTGGGCAAAACTGGTAAAAAACCCACCAGTTCTTCTATGAACTTGTCCCTAAGGAGGTCATTTGCTTGTAACTCAATGACATCCAGGTGCAGTTCATCTGGGCGACTGGCCACATCTGTTTCAAATGGGTTTTGAAAAAGTCTCACTTCTTCTGCCTTTAAATCCAAGCCAGAAAACCACGGCTGACACTGCAGATAGGCGTCTTTTCATGGTCTCGCAGGCAAATGACGTGGGGAACTCCACTGTTGCGTCAGCCATGAAGACCATCCACGGCTGAACGTGCGTCAAGTTGTTGTTCCAAAAAACAAGACGAATTCGGATCTGAAGGCCTTTAGGTGGGTGTCTAGATCAGAAACTAGATTTTCCTCTCCTTTTAGTTTTAGGTTCAGAAAATTTAAATTACTGCAGCAAAGGCCATTTTCCATACCCACTCTTCATCAGACAGTAATGCCTGTGGCTTGCCTTTACTTTCCAGGTAGTCACCTCACAACTTAGCCATATTAAATTATTGTTGTGTAATATGGTAAATTTTGCGATTGTGTGTCTGTATTTTTCAAAAGGTCTCTGAACAGTCTATGGTTGAGCCCATGTGACCTTATTAAATTAACCCTCCTCACCAAAGGATTCAGTATGCTGCTAATGTCCACATATTTATCACACAAAGCTTTCTGGTGAATAATACAGTGAAGGAACATTGGTCGCAAAATTTTATTTCATTACACATCTGCTTCACTTGTCCAACCAAGCCTTTCTTTATGCCACTCATGTTCTTTCCTCCATCAATAGTCAGGCAACTGAGATTAGTCCAGTCCAAGTTATAATCAGCAAATGTTTTGTTCAACTCATCGGTAACAGTTCCGTACATGCTATTTGGGAAGCCAGCTCTTGTGTTATGTTCATGTCTTCATCCACACCCCCCTAACGAACACAAGCAGTTGAGAGGTGGAACAGATGTCTAGCGATTCATCCATTGCAATTAAAAATTGGTGAAACTTGCTTGCATTTTTCACTATTTGAGTCACAATCTTTTCACCCATGTCTGCAACACGTGGGCAAAGCTCTGCCACTGGATGGCGTTATATATTCTCATCTCATTGACTGTAAACGGAAGTAGAAAAACGAAGCAGCGAATAAGGTTTTGCCAAGTAATGATCGGTTAGAAAACATAACGCTCTACTGCGCACCTCTATTTTAATTTGGTAAAACCATAACGTCCAGGTAAGTGACGTCTGAGCTTGGAAGGATACACATACATTTCCGTATTTTTTTTCCATAAACAAAAAGGTCTCTGCTATGCGGCCCCGCGGGCTGTAGTTTGGAGACCCCTGCTCTAGATTAAACAATTTTTGAAACAGTTTGACATAACCTTAAGAAAATATTCCAAGCTTTAATTTAAGCCATTTATTTTTAAAAACTCCAATCAGTTCTAAAAATACTGTAGCCCATTCTTTTTTGAATAGCCAAGTAAAACACGACATTCTGGATCCGGTTCAGTTTTGAATGGCCAGGTAAAAGCAACAGTTGAGGCGACAACACTAGACACATTTGCGTCTATTGCCTCAAGCCTTTCAACCCCCCAGTGCATGAGTCCCTCACAAAGTAGCACATGCAATCAGTGAAATACCCTCATCAACACGAGGCATAGGAACATTGTAAATCCCCTCTACATGCCTAGGAGCCAAAATGATTCGTGGGCCCTTAATATATAGAAGAAGAAAAGAAGAAGAAAACAAGACATTCTGGATCCAGTTCAGCTTTGAATGGCCAGGTAAAACAAGACATACTGTATCTGGTTCAATTTTGAATGGCCGGGTAAAACAAGACATATTGTATCTGGTTCAGTTTTGAATGGCCGGGTAAAACAAGACATATTGTATCTGGTTCAGCTTTGAATGGCCGGGTAAAACAAGACATATTGTATCCGGTTCAGCTTTGAATGGCCGGGTAAAACAAGACATTCTGTGTCCAGTTCAGCTTTAAATGGCCAAGTAAAACAAGACATACTGTATCCCATTCAGTTTTGAACGGCCAGGTAAAAGAAGACATACCGTATCCGGTTCCATGCGTTGGGCTATTCTGTTCCTGACAAACTCCACAACCTCCTGATTGGTGAGGACATCCCAGATGCCATCACAGGCCAGTAGAACAAATTCATGGTCAGGGGTGATGGGTTTCTCAATCACATCAGGATTGGCTGGCAATAGAGGTTAAGGTTAGACAATCGGTAATAGTGAGGATCAGGTCAAAAGAAAAGTCCTATTATATGACATTTAATTTAATCTGCTCATATGATTTAAATATTGTAGCATTTGTGGAGTTTTTTTTTTTTTTTTTCAAACAGCTCTTATTTACTTACCTAGTATTGAAATGTTGTTGTTTTTTTATGTTAAGTCCTATTATATGACATTTAATTTAATCTGCTCATATGATTTAAATATTGTAGCATTTGTGGAGTTTTTTTTTTTTTTTCAAACAGCTCTTATTTACTTACCTAGTATTGAAATGTTGTTGTTTTTTTATGTGCAGTGCAGTTCATAGATAAACTGATCAACTGCTCAAAAAAAAAGACATGACCCTCCATCTATTTGAATTCATTAGATTTACATAGCCCAAACAACTCACCTGTTACTATTTGACTTCAATAGATTTACATAGCCCAAAAAACTTACCTGTTACTATTTGATTGCATTAGATTTGCATAGCCCAAACAACTCACCTGTTACTATTTATTCCTCTGACATAACCCAAACAACTCACCTGTTACTATTTGTGCCTCTGACATAACCCAAACAACTCACCTGTTACTATTTGTGCCTCTGACATAACCCAAACAACTCACCTGTTACTATTGGCCTCTGACATAACCCAAACAACTCACCTGTTACTATTTGGCCTCTGACATAACCCAAACAACTCACCTGTTACTATTTGGCCTCTGACATAACCCAAACAACTCACCTGTTACTATTTGGCCTCTGACATAACCCAAACAACTCACCTGTTACTATTTGGCCTCTGACATAACCCAAACAACTCACCTGTTACTATTTGGCCTCTGACATAACCCAAACAACTCACCTGTTACTTTTTTTCCTCTGACATAACCCAAACAACTCACCTGTTACTATTTGTTCCTCCGGTCTTTTTTTGTCATTCTTTTTAAATACAAAGTCCCCTAAGGCTCTCGATAAGGCAAGATTACCTGTGGTATTAGAATGGTAAACATGGAAACTCATACAGAAGAAATGAATCAGTTTGTTGCTTAGGTTGTAATGAATAAAGAAGTTGAAGACAATGAACAGTTTGTTCTAATTTATAATTTAACATTGTTCAATTTGGGGGTGGAGGGGTGTTATACATTCTTTTGTTTATTTACATTTACTCTAAATAAGAAAACTTTTACACATTCAGTAACACCCTACTACCCACTTACAACAGATGTATATAAAGTCCACCCAACCACCGACAACTGATGTATATAAATTCCACTTACCCACCTACAGATGTATATTAAGTCCACCCACCCATTTACACCTGATGTATATATGGCTTACAACTGACATAATCAATAACTAATTTATTTAAAATCTCCCCCTGCCCCTTACAAGTACTTATTTAAACTCCACCCCACACCTTGCTTGTTGATCTTGTTTACCCCCCCCCCCTTTTTTTTTTACAAGTGACCTGGTTACATTCAACTCAACCACTAGCAACTGACTGTCAAACTCCACCCTACCATTGACTCTGTTAAACTCCACCCATCCACCAGCTGAAATGATCCGCCGTGTTTCACTCTCGTTGCTGGGCTTGTGGTCAAATGACAGTTGCTCCACTTCTCCATGGACACTGGCAACAGCCCTGGAGTCTCCAACATTGCCCTAAACAAGTATAATACAATAACTCAAATGTCGTGTACTCTACTAACCATGTTGTATTAGAGGCTATTTATCCATCCCGCTATTTCTGTACAGCACTTACCACTTTGGAATAGAAATTATTTATCACACTTTTTCTGTTGGATTGGAGACAATTTTTTAAACAAAATTCCTGTTGTAATTTACTTTTAATTTAGTATAAGAGTCTATTTATCACAGTACTAAACCATAGCATATAAAGATGATATTGTCTTTAATATTCAAAATATAAATGTAAAAAAAAAAAAATGAGTATCTTAAAAAAAATAAATAAATGTTACCTTTTTTTGGTATTTTGAACTATTTAACCTACACAGGGGAGCAGGGGAGCTGATAATTCCCTTAACATTAATTTTGCCATTTATTCAAATTATTTCCCCCTTCCATAATTTTTTTTAAAGGGGTGGGTATATCCATCACACCCCCCCCCCCCTTTGCCCCTCCCTTTCACCTCTTTAACTCACCCTAGTCATACAAAAAAAATATTTAGATACAATTCATATTTAAAATGATTGCTTATTTAGTGGCCTAGACTTACACAAAACATTTTGCCATTTTTAATCAGCACCACCACTGCTGTTGTTCCGGCCAGTTCATCCTTCATTGCATCATCTGAGAAGAAAACAATTGGTCTCACATTTCCTATAGATCAGACAGAACAGTAGACCCAAACAACAAGACTCCCAGTAACTCAAGACAATGCACCGGCCCGGTCATTGTTGTTTTCATTCAACTGTGTCTCCCCGGGATATTACACAATTCATTGGTCCATTCATTGATTTTATGTAACATTATCCAAGGAAGTCCCTTTATTTTAGATCTAGAGGTGGGATTGTCTGTGTTTTTAGACCAAAATAATGGACGAACTGACCATTCAGTCATGTGTCGCAAGACAATGCATGATGTACCCATGAATATTGATAAATGGCAATTCAGCACAGGCTGTAATAAAGGAATCGTCGTCATTATAACTTTTCTTTAAAGTCATGAAGCAACTATTAATGGCAACTTCGTGTTTGCCTGGGCTGAGAATGCAGCTGTTGTTTTAATTATTAATCAAAGCATTGACTTGAACAATTTCTTTTTAAAAAAAGCCCAGAGTTTCTGGCTAAAAAACCTAATTTAAAAAAAAAAAATTTAAGTATTGGAAACTGAATATCTGTAATGACATTCAAACAGTTCTGATACCCAAAGTCTATGCTGCTGAGGATGATACTTTTGAGCTCAAATTTTTAAAAAAATATTTTTTTTATACATTTAAAATTTTGCACAAGACTTCTCACGTAGAATGAACAAACCTTGGTCGGGGGGGGGGGTGGAAGAGAGAGGGCGGCATTTTTATTTAAGCTAGATTTAGTAATCTAACCATATTAATAAATAGAAAAATTAAAATGTCCAGTGGATAAAAAAATATTTTTTTTATACATTTAAAATTTTGCACAAGACTTCTCACGTAGAATGAACAAACCTTGGTCGGGGGGGGGGGGTGGAAGAGAGAGGGCGGCATTTTTATTTAAGCTAGATTTAGTAATCTAACCATATTAATAAATAGAAAAATTAAAATGTCCAGTGGCGGGACTAAGATGTATATCAAGTTTTCTCTCTCCAGGACATACAGTGTTTGGTACAAAAAATAACAAGTAATTCATAATGGAAGAGTTCGAAATTTGCAAGACTTCTTGTCCTCCAGGCACAAAGTACCTTCTTGCTTATAAAACACTTCCTGTATTTCCTAAAGTCCAACACTCATTGAAATGAACAGATTTCACAGTCAATTAAATAAAGGTTTACAGCTACAACTTAAAAGACAAAAATAACTTTCTCAATTAAAATGTTAAAGTGCAATATGTGTGGGTAATTTTATAATGGGATTGATAGTGCAATCAATAGCTTCAACAAATATGGCTAATGGAATTCACATTGAAATAGAGAACTTCACCATAAGGCTTATGGCACTGGCAGTGCAATAAATAGTTTCAAAATGGCTAATGGGATTGACAGTGTCACAAATAGCTTTAACGTTGTATGGCTAATGATATTCACAGTGGAATGGATCACTTCACCTTACGGGTAATGGAATTGACAGTGTCATGAATAGCTTTAACGTTGTATGGCTAATGATATTCACAGTTGAATGGATCACTTCACCTTACGGGTAATGGAATTGACAGTGTCATGAATAGCTTTAACGTTGTATGGCTAATGATTTTCACAGTGGAATGGATCACTTCACCTTACGGGTAATGGAATTGACAGTGTCATGAATAGCTTTAACATTGTATGGCTAATGATATTCACAGTGGAATGGATCACTTCACCTTACGGGTAATGGAATTGACAGTGTCATGAATAGCTTTAACGTTGTATGGCTAATGATATTCACAGTGGAATGGATCACTTCACCTTACGGGTAATGGAATTGACAGTGTCATGAATAGCTTTAACGTTGTATGGCTAATGATATTCACAGTGGAATGGATCACTTCACCTTACGGTTAATGGAATTGACAGTGTCATGAATAGCTTTAACGTTGTATGGCTAATGATATTCACAGTGGATTGGATCACTTCACCTGACGGGTAATGGAATTGACAGTGTCATGAATAGCTTTAATTATTATTATTATTATTTAGGCATTTTTGTATAGCGCTTACCTTACAGCTCTAAGCACTTTTCAATTATTAAAAATATGTTAACTATTTAAACTGCTAAAGCAAAATAAAAATGAAAAACCAGAGACACTAGAATAGTAACTACAATGTGAAAAATGATTATAAAAACAGTAGCTAAAACATTAAAATGGCTATAAAAACAAGTACACTTAGCATGTTTTGGCCTATACTTAAATACAGGATCAACCCCAGACAGAAAATGAGGCAGTGCAAGGAGGGTGCATCACAGGTCATAGGCAGACCGAAACAGATGGGTTTTAAGGGACTTTTTGAAAGTGGACGAGGTTTCACAATGACGGATGTGGAAGGGGAGCTGGTTCCAGAACATGGGCGCATGAAAGTAGAAGGAGCATTCACCGATGGTCTTAGTTTTGGTTTTTGGGATTGAGAGGGTTCTATTGTCAGTTGAAGAGCGTAGTTGTCTTGTGGGATGTAAGGAAGCAACAGTTATGAGAGATAGACAGGAAAGTGAGGGTCAGTGAAAGAGTTGAAGCATAGATTGGTAGACTTATACTTGATGTGAGAGGATATTGGAAGCCAGTGGAGTTGTATGGCTAATGATATTCACAGTGGAATGTATAACTTCACTTTACGGCTAATGGGATTGATAGTGCCGTGAAAAAGCTTCATTATGGCATTCACTGTGGTATACAGAACCTACATAGATATGACTAGTGGGATGGACAGAGATATTTACTGTTGGTACATGATTAACAACGACACATCCCAAGTTGGGGGTAGGATGTGGTTTTCAAATAATCTCACTGAATACATCATGAGATGGCATACACTGACAGAGACTGGCCATGGAGTCATTGCAAAAATGAAGGACGTGTAAAGGTGAAGAAAATACGAGTTACGCCCGACAACAAGCCCAGGTTAAAATGTGTCACTCTGGTGTGACCAATACGAGATTAAGGTCAACAAAAACCAAATTAGCATCCACTTAAATCTAAACAACTTCACAGGCTCAAAACAAGAATTAGGTCAAACCTGTTTAGAGATATCAGGAGGGCGATGTTATTCCTTTAAATTCAAATTCTACCCCTCACTACCACGGATTAACACAAAAAGTATAAATTACTTGACAGCACAACACTGCACTGTGGTATTTAGCAGAAGCCAAGAGGCAAAAAATCAACAATTACCTTTTAGCATCTCCTCATCTAGTGAAAGGAAGCCACTCCTTATAGCGTCTGATATATTCCCTTTAGCTGTACACGTGGATGTGGTTAAACAATAAATATAAATGTAAAATATACATCAAAAGTCAACAGTAAAGAGTAAATAATGTTGAAAGAGAAACGTATAACTGATTTGTGATATGAGGCCAAAGAATGTTAAAATATTTTGCAGTTTTGTATACTTGCAAGTAAAACTATTCACTGTAAAACCCTATTCACTTATGGTGATATTAAACATTAATACTGGAAACAGATGAAAAGTGAATTGTATGTCCCAAAAAAACATGATCTGAGATTTGAAACAGTTTAAGTTTGTGTGTGCTAGTTTGATGTTGGATGGAGTCAACCGTGACACAATATTATATAAATACAATGGGCGAGTGTTCAGCCAGCCATGATGGAAAAGTTGTGATTCTGTGCTATAGTAAAATTGTGTAATAATGTAAAGACGATAGTTAATATAATTAATCAACACAGAGGTCAACATATATAGGTATCCAGTAATATAGGTGAAGTTGTTCATTTATCATGTGTATACAGTCTTATTGAAATGAAGGGCCCATGACTCATTACATTGGCTCTATAATTTATTTTAATCACGTTGACGATGTCTTGATGTGGCAGTGACAGCTCTAGACTTAGCTAACGATCCCACCTGTATCACTAACAACTGGCTGAACAGTCACAAGATTCTTTACACAGTGTGAGGAAATGATGCCCACTGGCTGATCTTTGCTTAATAAATTTTTTTAAATTGGAAAAGTGTATTTTAAAAAAGTAGCAACACAAGAATTTAGGAAACAAAATATGGGCAATGCCATGTATCAGAGCCCTTCAAATACACTTACTTATTATGAAATAAAATTATGTTGCTTTCATTTCATCATTGACAAAAAGTTTAAGAATATCATATTTCAAAGAAGAAACTCACAATAGGACGTCTGGGACACTATTTTCTTGTGGAGATTGTTGCCAGCGTATTGTGCCACCTTGACTCCTGTCAAACAAAAAAGGCAACATCACCTTCAAATGTACCAACAAGAATAAATAAGATGGCTGAGATGTGTCTTGGCAAAAACCTTGTTCACGGCCACCTTTATTCAACTCTTCAAACCCCTAAGAGCAAGTCTAACTACCATTCTGTCCGTCACATTGTGAAGCAACCAGGTTTGTGCCCTTCATAACATAGATGTATTCAAAGATTACTGTGTGTGTATAAATGTCAATAAAATTCAAAAACGTTTGGGTCTAATTTTGTAAAAAGCTTAAGACACATGAAAATTAAATCTATGGACAAAAAATATCAAGTGTACAGCCTTGAAAATGTGGGTTTGGTGTTCTGACACAAAGCTATACAAAACAAACCCATGATCAGTACAATGAAAGGTCTGGTAAAACACAAAGAGTAGAACTATGGCAACTTCAGTTTTTTGACTTAGACATTTTTTTTTAACAATATCCTTTCCTCCGTTCCAAACTAAACACCAAGATTGTTCGAGACAAACACCATAAATATATTAATGAGGTATTTTGAGAACAATACGAGTGACGTCACACAACCAACTTGCCTCCATGCCCATCAAAGACACCAAAGAAACAGGCATCCTTGTCGCCTGGTAAACTCAGAAGATGGCTGTGGGCATCTTCCATATCTGGGCCAGGTTCAGGAAAATATTTCACTTTTATTTTACATTTAGTCAAATCCTTGTCTATTATATTGTCAGCGTGACCTCTGCTACAGGACCAAAAATATTCGAACACATCATCCTCATCGCCAAAAATATTTTCCTGAAAAAACCCTGCCATTCTCCTTGCTAACACTGCCATCAGCAATATTTTCTCCACCCCTCCTCTCATTTTTTTTTCAGAAGAGAGAAAAATCTGCCAGATCTCCTGCATAGTCGCATCCGCGCTGCCCCCCCCCCCTTACACTTTGGGACCAATCTATTTGGCCACACCCGTTCCAACACAAACCCTTATGTCATTCCGGTAAATTGGGAAAACAAAGTGATTCAGTCTAAAAAAAACCCCTGCCATTCTCCTTGCTAACCCTGCCATCAGCAATATTTTCTCCGCCCCTCCTCTCATTTTTTTTTCAGAAGAGAGAAAAATCTGCCAGATCTCCTGCATAGTCGCATCCGCGCTGCCCCCCCCCCCTTACACTTTGGGACCAATCTATTTGGACACAGCCGTTGCAAAACAAACCCTTATGTCATTCAGGTAAATTGGGAAAACAAAGTGATTCAGTCTAATGGAACCTTGACACCACATGGCATGAATGTCATGTTCTCATTAACTCGTTGAACATTTTCTCCGACCACTCTTTGTTACGACCAATCACAGTGGACTGACTTTTCCATTTTTCCGTCCTATCTGACCTGCATTGACACTCTCTCCTACTTATCTTCTGTCACTCTCCTCTAGCTGTCCTCTCTGATACTTCATTGCAGCGAAGCGCTTATTTTTATTTAATATCGTTTTTTCTGTTGTTTGTTCACCGAAGAAGGCTTCTTGCAGACAAGTTCTTTGTTGTTTTTTTTCATCCTTTTTCAGGTTTTCCCATACTTTTTTCGCTCATTTGCTATGATATTATATGCACACTTTTAATAAAGTATTATGTTACAATCTATGAATAAATTTTGGAATAAAACAAAAATAACAAGTCAGTTTAATTTTAAATAAATTTATGCTTGAATTAAAAAAAAAATACAATCTTCTAATTGACAGAGCTAAGAGTGTGAGTTAATAACTATTATTTCATAGTGTTTTGTAGATTCGATCTGTTAGTCAGTAATTAAGATAAGGATACTGATTCTCCATCCCTGCATACAGGATGATCCCACCTTGACAAAGGAATTTTCATGTTTGGAGGAGAACTTGGTGGTCACTGGTTCAGACAAAGTCTGACCCATTGCTGAAATGAAATAAATTAAAATATGAGAAATTCTCATATCTGGAGAACTTGGCGGTCTGTGGCTCTAACAAACACATCTAGAGAATAAATTAAACACCTAAAAACAAAGTTTTGGGGAAAACGCTTTATAACATGTAATACCGAGCAATGTGGGGGGGTGGGGCTGAAAAGGCTTGCAACCGCACATTTTTTCACGCCCCTGAACTATATTAATATTGAAATGACAAATCTGCTTTTAAACCACAGATTTAGTTCACCAACTTTTCCAGAAAAACAAAAGAAAATATTACGCGAAAAATGCACTGGTAATATTTTTTTTAAAAAATAATATGATTTAGCGCAGTTATCTGGAATTTTATTTTATGAAATCAGAGTCATCATATTTCTTTCATATTGCACTTGAAAAACAGGAAAAACGGATTTGGGGGGGGGGGGNTGGTAAGGTACAGTATCTCTAAAAGCCACTGTGGTAAGGTACAGTATCTCTAAAAGCCACTGTGGTAAGGTACAGTATCTCTAAAAGCCACTGTGGTAAGGTACAGTATCTCTAAAAGCCACTGTGGTAAGGTACAGTATCTCTAAAAGCCACTGTGGTAAGGTACAGTATCTCTAAAAGCCACTGTGGTAAGGTACAGTATCTCTAAAAGCCACTGTGGTAAGGTACAGTATCTCTAAAAGCCACTGTGGTAAGGTACAGTATCTCTAAAAGCCACTGTGGTAAGGTACAGTATCTCTAAAAGCCACTGTGGTAAGGTACAGTATCTCTAAAAGCCACTGTGGTAAGGTACAGTATCTCTAAAAGCCACTGTGGTAAGGTACAGTATCTCTAAAAGCCACTGTGGTAAGGTACAGTATCTCTAAAAGCCACTGTGGTAAGGTACAGTATCTCTAAAAGCCACTGTGGTAAGGTACAGTATCTCTAAAAGCCACTGTGGTAAGGTACAGTATCTCTAAAAGCCACTGTGGTAAGGTACAGTATCTCTAAAAGCCACTGTGGTAAGGTACAGTATCTCTAAAAGCCACTGTGGTAAGGTACAGTATCTCTAAAAGCCACTGTGGTAAGGTACAGTATCTCTAAAAGCCACTGTGGTAAGGTACAGTATCTCTAAAAGCCACTGTGGTAAGGTACAGTATCTCTAAAAGCCACTGTGGTAAGGTACAGTATCTCTAAAAGCCACTGTGGTAAGGTACAGTATCTCTAAAAGCCACTGTGGTAAGGTACAGTATCTCTAAAAGCCACTGTGGTAAGGTACAGTATCTCTAAAAGCCACTGTGGTAAGGTACAGTATCTCTAAAAGCCACTGTGGTAAGGTACAGTATCTCTAAAAGCCACTGTGGTAAGGTACAGTATCTCTAAAAGCCACTGTGGTAAGGTACAGTATCTCCAAAAGCCACTTCATTTAAGGCAAAGCTATGCTAAAAAGCGCTCCCAACCCCATACAGGTAACGTAATGCGCTATTGGAATACAAATCGCTGCGTTCATGTCATGCTCCATGTCCATGTCATTCAAACATGTATGGATTTCTAATGGCAGTCAATAGGGTTATACAATCTCATTCATGCTTTGCTATTGGTTATTTCTGGCAGGGAGACCAATAGTCCAGTCAACACAATTTCATACTGCTACAAACTGTCCAAGTTTACAGTCAGTAGGTGACCCGCAGTCCTGTGTCATGTCATTAGGTGACCCAACGGTTCACAAGCATGTAGCCAATATTTCAACATTTTCATACTCATCTTCATTGACACTAAATTACGACTGCCTCCAAAAACATTTACAATAACTTACAAGCCGTAGTTTGAGGACCCCCTGCTGTCACAACTTGTATAAGCTATCATCACAGACAACAGGGATTGATCTGATATTTCTCAAATACATAACGAATACATCTAATATGTTTTGATACTGGGACAAAACATAAGAAGAGACAGAATAAACATTGAGACACTAGTGTGCGCATGGTCGACCCCCCCTTCCCCCCCCCCCCCCAAACACACGCGGAAAAAAAAACCCAACCAAAAAAAAACAAAAACTTTTTTCCCACAAGTTGATAAATGAATGTAATGATATGTGGCAGATGAAACATATATGAAAAACAACACACACACACACTATTTTACCAGCTACCCGCCTTATCATTTTTATGTCCGGGGGCCGCGCCTGTGACCTCGAGGCGCCGCCCTTATGGCTACCGGTCGAGTAACCGCCGTCACTGACTTTGCCACGCATCCAGGGACCCCCAGTCATCATCTCCTGTCCCTGGCTCTTGAGATAATCTGTTCTCTGGCCATAAACTGCCATGAACTGCACGGGATCCCGGCACTAGCATGGGCCCAAGCTGCACGTACACGGTAGCAGATCGATGGAGGGTCAAGTGAGTGACTCCCGTTACAAGGAACTGGGGGGGGGGGCGCTCAACATTTCACCAGACTGGACACGAAGCAGTAAACGAAAGAGTTACAAGGAACGGGGGGGGGGGGGCGCTCAACATTTCACCAGACTGGACACGAAGCAGTAAACGAAAGATGGGGATTAGATGGGCTAAGGACAACCATTTCTTTTCCCCTCCTGATTTACGAAAGATGGGGATTAGATGGGCTAAGGACAACCATTTCTTTTCCCCTCCTGATTTACGAAAGATGGGGATTAGATGGGCTAAGGACAACCATTTCTTTTTCCCTCCTGATTTCTTAACTGTTCCATAAGAGACACGACAGAGTTGCATCTGTAACGGCCCTTTGTTACTTTGGTTGTGTGTGTGTGTGTGTGTGATTGTGTGTGTGTGTGATTGTGTGTGTGTGTGTGTTTGTGTGTGTGTGAAGGGGAAAAAACAGTAAGGATAAAAACATAAAACTGAATCAGTTTTACTATAACACCTCATGGGGTGTATAGAGACAAATGAACAGATGGTTGGGTGTCTGGATGCGTAAGACAGACTAATAATAACACCCTGTGGTAAGTCTGTGATCACTAAGTTGCTCGATGACTAAAATTAGATGTTAAATGACTCAGTACAGAGATGATCAACCTTTCATCTGATCTCTATCCCCTACCAACTGTTTGACTAAGTCTCGCACGACCAACAAATCGTTGACCAAATCTCAAGCCGGTCACGTCAATGGATATTGTATGCTAATGAAAGCAGGTCACGTCAATGGGTATTGTATGCCAATGAAAGCAGGTCACGTCAATGGGTATTGTATGCCAATGAAAGCAGGTCACGTCAATGGGTATTGCATGCCAATGAAAGCAGGTCACGTCAATGGGTATTGCATGCCAATGAAAGCAGGTCACGTCAATGGGTATTGTATGCCAATGAAAGCAGGTCACGTCAATGGGTATTGTATGCCAATGAAAGCAGGTCACGTCAATGGGTATTGCATGCCAATGAAAGCAGGTCACGTCAATGGGTATTGCATGCCAATGAAAGCAGGTCACGTCAATGGGTATTGTATGCCAATGAAAGCAGGTCACGTCAATGGATATTGTATAACTCTAGCAAAATATTATAAACTTTTAAATTTAAAAAAAAAGTACTCTAATCTGTGGATAGATTACAAAGCAAATTGAAGAGCTGCGTCCTTTCTGGCCCACGGCGTGTTTATGTCCCTTGATGTTTAAACAAACTCCTCCATTGTGGGCGTCCTCTGTGGCTGAGCTATTGGTGAACTAATAAGGTCATCTGAAAACACCAGGAAGTTAGTACCGTATTAGCCGGCGTATAAAACGCCTTTTTAACCCATGGGAAAACTTTTTCAAAAGTCGGAGGGTCGTCTTATACGCCGGGAAATACGGTGCGCACTTCGCAGCACTACAGAAATGTGGGTGATGGATCCCCACAAGAAAAGCAATGCGAGTTTTGCCTCTTAATTTGTGTTGAGATTGCCTCGCGTTTCTCAGACCTATTTGACTTTAAACGAATGATGTATATCATCAGACCTGTTTGGTAGTTTATATCTAGTGACCCTGTCCTAGTTAGGATAAGTATTATACTTCCTTGCATTTCGCACTGTATAAAGCTGAATGCTGGCAACCGGCTTGGGGGGGAACGGGGGAGGGGGTGGAAGAGAGGCGTAGATATGCGGACATCCTTTATTAAAAAAAAAAAACGAAGTAAAATATTAATGACAAAATAAAAAGACTATTAAGCATGTGGGTCATTGCTTAAAAAATGGTCCTCTCTTCTTATTCCACTTCCCACGCACCCTCTGAAAAGCCACATCGCCCCCCCCCCCCCCCCCCCCACCCCCCCCTTTTTTTTTTTTTTTTTTTTAGCGAGGATCCCAGGCTGGGAACCTCTTGACGTAGAGGGAGAAACTTAGCCCGAGCCTTCATTTGATGTCCTCTCAACACGGGATGCACACAACATGTTCTTTTGATAGGGTTACCCCACCATTCCACCACTGGCGCTGACATGGACAGGTAGGTGGCGGTCTGCTTTCTCCAGTGATTCAGGCAAAAGTGAACACCCAGACGTAAAAGGTAACGGCAGTGGCGATGTGAGAAAATTAATGACTGCTGCTGGCTGAGAAAATGGTGACGGTGATGTCTGAGAAAATAATGACGGTGATGTCTGAGAAAATAATGACGGTGATGTCTGAGAAAATAATGACGGTGGCTAGATGAGAAAATGATAGTGACGGTCTGAGAAATGAGAAAATAATGACAGTGATGTCTGAGAAAATAATGACGGTGATGTCTGAGAAAATAATGACGGTGATGTCTGAGAAAATAATGACGGTGGCTAGATGAGAAAATGATAGTGACGGTCTGAGAAATGAGAAAATAATGACGGTGATGTCTGAGAAAATAATGACGGTGGCTAGATGAGAAAATGATAGTGACGGTCTGAGAAATGAGAAAATAATGACAGTGATGTCTGAGAAAATAATGACGGTGGCTAGATAAGAAAATAGCAGGGATGGTCTAAGAAAATAACCTTCTACCTACATGTTTAAAAGTTTTAATCAAACAGTTCAAAAAATCAAATCCTAAA